GTATGGTGAATATATGGTATATATGTATTCAATCCGTGGTTAACTGGAACAAGGAATGGTTTGTAAATTTGAATGCCGCCAAAACAAGACTGCTTCCATTTAATGAAAACAAAAGAACCTCTTCAGTCTACCATCATCATGACTGACGCTAAACTACAAGATATCAACACAACACTTTGTGCCATTCTTGGACTCACGTTTGACGGACATGAAGTGGACTGCTTGTATTGAATCAGTTGCTAGGTATGCAGTTTGGCAACTTGGTTCACTGTGTTATGACAGACAGTTCTTATCAGAATCCTTCCTGCACATTTATAAACCTACCATTCGTTGGTGCATTGAGCATATCTTGACAAAATTCAAAGAAGGATATAATGTAATCGATCCTGACTGGGCATCACGACTTCAGTCCCTTTCCCACCGATGGATCGCGGCTCCCCTCTGCCTTTCCGACAAATATTTTAATGGCCCTTTTTCTGATCTGCGGTTCTCCTTAGTAGCAAGCTTAAACTGATGCTGAATTTAAGCGTGCTACTAGAATGGCAACTAAGTCTTACTGTTTTCCTTTTGAACTAGCAAGATGAAACCATCACTTCTATTCATATACTTAATTCTTGAATACGGCCAGTACATTGGGACTGTGTTTATAATTGATATTATTAAGGGCTGTACGTTATTTTTTGTTCTTCATAATAAGAGCTTCCATTATTTTAAACGTTTTTGCAGTTGGAGGTGCATACCACATTTTTCTTGCATAATTCTCAAGCGGCGGGAAAGTTTAGTATATATATATATATATATATATATATATATATATTTGTGTGTGTGTGGTATTAATGTGAGTAAAGGTTTGTCACTTAGCTGATTGATGTTACCTTCAGTATCCCGACTCCAGATTTTCGTAGACTGACCTATCCTTCCACTCTACAAGGGTTATCAGCAATTTACTACTTATATTTTTCCTTTTATGCATATTTAATACTAGTTTAAGTTTTCTTTGTATTCTCTGTGTTTGTGTGTGTGCTTGTGTGTGTGTGTGTGTATGTGTGTGTGTGTGTGTGTGTGTGTGTGTGTGTGTGTGTGTGTGTGCAGTTAGGTTTAGGGTCCCGATTCTGCGGATGTGCGTACATCTAGGGAGTCGTGGTCATTTTGCCTTTCTTTCCGTTTTTTCCCTATTTTCTGACTGTTGCTGATTTGTCTGTGTTTGTTCCGTCTCTAGAGATTTAACCAATTTTTATCTATTTTCTGTTTTTTTTTTGTTAAGGAAATTGTATTTCGTTTTTGACGTTTTCTACGTAAATAATTGATATCAATGCTTAAATGATAAACATTTTTATACATACACACACACATATATATATATTATACTAATGGTATTGATGCTTAAATGGTAAATACTTATATATGCAAACACACACGTATATATATATACACACATCTACATATACATTCACACAAACACATATGTTTATATATCTTCACTGGTCTCTTATTTTCGTTTTTGACGTTTTCTACGTAAATATTAGGTTGTCCCAAAAGTTCGTAAACACTTGCGAAAAATTGAATTTTTCTGCAATTTTTAATTGTTTTTTTACTTTATCGAGAATTGGATGGTGAGCTTGGAGTTGGCAAATCGACAATTCACCGACACTTGAAGCAACTTGATTTTTTTTCACAAAAAGCCGCGCCAAGATCCGGACGAACTCACCGAAGCACAAGCCAACAGACGAGTTGAAATTTGCTGTCAATTGCTCAGCAATCCATTGGACGAGCGTTTTTGGAAGCGCATTGTGACATCGGACGAGAAATGAGTCTATCTGGTCCAGCACAATCGAGACAAGCGATGGGTTCAGAAAGGGCAAGAGACACTGTCGGTTCCAAAACAAGATCGATTCGGCAAGAAAGTCATGTTGTGCGTTTGGTGGAACTTTGAAGGAATCATGCATTTTGAGTTGGTTCCGAAAGTTCGTGCCATCAGTGCCGAAGTTTACTGTCAGCAACTGGAGCGGGTCTACGAAAAGTTGAAGCAAAAGTACCGGGCTCTGATCAACCGAAAGCGCGCTTTGATGCAGCAGGACAATGCCAAGCCGCACACCGCCAGGAAGACCAAAGACAAGTTTGAAGAGCTGGACGGTGTTGAGGTTCTGCCACATCCAGTCTACAGTCCTGACTGTGCTCCATCAGATTACGGCCTTTTCCGCTCAATGCAGCACTTTCTGAAGGGCCGCCGATTCGACTCGTTTGATGAAGTCGAGGAAGCGTGTCAAGAATTCTTTGATTTGAAGCCGGCTGAATGGTACTTTCACCAGATCCGAAAGCTTGCAGATCGATGGCAGAAAGTCTTGGAAAATGATGGTCTTTATTTTGAGGAATAATTTTTGTTGTTTTTGTTGTTACTTGGCGAGTAAAATTTCAATTTTTTGCAAGTGTTTACGAACTGATGGTATTGATGATTAAATGGTAAATACTTATATATGCAAACACACACACACACACACACACACACACACACACACACACACACACACACATATATATATATATATATACACATACAAACATATACATGCACACAAACACATATGTTTATATATTTTCACTGGTCACTTATTTCGCTTTTTTAATTTTTTAAAAATTTGGTTTGGTGGTGTCATAAGTATTAATTGCAGGCGGTAAACTGATGTCTGCGCTTTGTTATTATTTGTTTCGTGTGTATTTGAAGATTCGTCTCTAGCTGTGCTGGTTAAACCCTCTGCCTGGAGGCAGAGAGGATCATCAGACAAGGCTATGTCGAAGAGCAGTCTCGTCTCGGGAAACAGCTACCCGGTCCCGTTTTATACGGGGTCTACGGGGAATTTTTGTTTTTGGCCGAGCCTACAGGCTCGGATACCCCACATTAAATTTGCCCTTGTGCCACATCTGATCACGTGGGGCCGTTGGTAGCTATCCTGTGCTTTGGTATTAATAAATTAGTGCTTAAATGGTGAAGTTATTTTTTGCACAGACACACACACAACGCGCGCACACACAGACAAATATATATATATATATATATATATATATATATATATATATATATATATATATATATATATATGTAAAGTTTATTCCAAAAGTCACGCAATAATTGGGAGAAACCATACACTCATGAAATTGCAAGCAGGGAAAATCTGTCTGGCATCATCTTCCATATTTCGATCAATAACATTTCATAATAATATATTGTCACATACAGATACATGATTCCATTTGGTAAAGAAATATAAAATTTGCAATGTTATCAATCGTAATTCGACTTTTGGAACACCCTATATATATATATATATATATATATATATATTGTACATCTTCACGTAGTAACTTATGGACCTACGCATGTTGCACACACGTACGTATATGTAATTGTTAAATACTGTATATGTAATTAAAATAAGTGTATACTTATATCATGTTATCGTTTATCTCTTATTTAATGTTTCATTTTTATTTTTATTTATATTTAATGGTTAGTAGTTTATTTGTTTGTAGCTTGGTGTTGTATATTGATGTATTAATTACACTGGGTTAGATTTGTTCATTTTCTTTTGGTGTTTGTTTATGTGTTATGTGTATATATCCATAGGTACATATACACACTTTCGTATAGGTGTGTATGTTTAATATTTGTTCGGTTATTAATAAATTATTATTATTTTATATATTTTTAAATTATTTATTAAAAGTTTGTATTAATATTTTTATTTAATTTATTCATTTATTTAAAGTTGATATTATATTTATTTTATTCATATTTGTTTATTTTTAGTTAGTACTTAGATGACAAAGTAAGTATTTATTTATATGCCTACATTTATCCATTATTTCAGTTTTCTTTTTTAGGAGTTTATTTTGGATTTTAAAACTAATTATTGCTAATTTTTCCTCTAAGCATAATTTACAATTTTTACTGTTATCTCTGTATGGAGCTGCTTTCTTTATAATTTCCCATTTGATTTTGGTGGGGATATTATTTTCTTTTTGGCTCCATATGTATTTTGATAGCGCTGTATTGTTTGTGCATTTTTTTTCCGAATGACATTCTGTGATTATATCTTTTTTAATTTTTTTTTCTTCTGTTTCCCCTATGTAATTTTTTCGTCTGTGTTAATGTTATTATATACAATAACTTTGTATATTATGTTATTTGTTAAATATTTATTGTTAAGTGGGCAATTTTCTTTATTTCTGCAGTTACATTCAATGGCGTTATTTTACTACGTTATTATTGTTTTAATTATTATTGGGTTTGCTGGGTATTTTTTATTGTGCTTATTTTCTTCATTTTATTCATGCAATTAATTTGCATAATGCAAGTAATTTTGATTATATTTTTTTTGATAATTTTTGATAATTTGCTGTTGTTAGGGAAGTGTTTGTCAATTATTTTGAAGGATATTTTCCCTATTTTTGTTTTTATTGCATTGGTGGAGTGTGAACCAAATGATATTTCTTGTTTTGTTGTTTTTGTTTAAACTGTTGCAGTTTTTTGGGCATATGTACTAGTGAGCCAGTCAGAATGACTTGACTCATTTTATAGTCCACCAAGAGAAGGGTTAACCAATCAGAAGACGTAGAATATTCAATCCGTCGTGTATAAAAATAAAAAAATTTTGTTTACTCTCTCCGAATGTCCAGTGCCAACTTGTCAGGCGAAGAGGAACAGAAGGAAGAACTACTGAACTACGCTCTGCTACTTTTACCGGGATATCCACTGCTAACCTGAACAACGCTTTCCTACTGTCTTCGAAATATTCACTGCTAACCTCTTGATTCTATACTCAAAGACGACCGTCATCATGAACAACTGTATTTTTGTATTCTAGTTTGAATATCTTCTGTTTCTTAGGGCTGATTCCTTATTTTTAAAATTTTTATTGAATATTTTAAGGCCACTAGGAATTGTTGAAATTATTTTATTTATAGATATAGGTATTTGTTTAAATACGTTAATGGGGTGATTA